TCTCCCCATTTCTCCCCAAAATAATAAAAAATAAACGCACTCACTTCTAGTTGCTTTTGGCGATTCAGAGCTAGCAACGGTCGCCACTTTAGTAGGGGCGACAGCGTCATACATGCCAATAATAAGTCGGGGCACTTTTAAAAATAGCTGAAGTAGGAGACGATAAAAAAATCGTGTGAAAATACATTTAAATTTTGATTTTTTAAGCAACGACGATGACCATCGACGGACTTGAAGATGCTTTATCTGACAAAAACTAAGGCGAAAATACATGACGAAGAGATTTCTGTTCTCAATCTTCCAATCTTTTAAATGCAATGTCTATCAAGCAATTCAAATATCATTATCTTCTTTGATTCTTGCGTTTCGATAGGTTCAATTTAAAAACAAAAGCAGTGTTGGGTATATCCTTTTTACCGCATTACAATTTTTTTTTAAAAACACGCTGTTTTCTGTCTGCTTTTCTTTATTGTAATGTCAAGAGGTGACCCCCTCATACAATCGCTCGCTCTAAAAGCATTCAAATCCAGAACAGAATAAGAAATGTGAACTGTTTTTTTTAAATAAACGATAGGGAGGGAACTCAAAATGTTCACCAGCTCATTTATATAGGGCGGCGCACCCTGATCGCGCGCCGGGCGCCAACGTTCTACGCTACGCCTCTCTGAATACGTGTTACAAGTTTTTATAAATGTGAGTACAAGTGATAAATAAACTGTTATATTTATAATAATTATTAAACATAGTAAGCAAAGAAAAAAGTACAAGTTACGAGCAACATTTTAGTTTTACAAAAATAAGCTCTTGTACACTTTTACCTAAGTTTATCGCACACCACAGAAATTCTCATCCTAACAATACTTTTTGTTAGGAGGGCAGTATAGTGCCAGAATATACCTTATTTTGTAACCTATATAAATTATAATTTTGGACACGTGTTTGATTGGTGGAGTCTTCAATCCAGTGATCGCACTTATACACAGCTTAAACTGTACCTACCAGTAATGTTTAATTTTTAATTGAGTGAAGTTTTGGCCATACAATATCAAAACTTCCATACCACAAGCACAACACGAGCCCTGTTTGTTCTAAGTAAGCAAAAAAGAATGGAGATTTATGGTGGCATATTCCCCTACCGATTAGCAACCCACCTTACAGCTGTGCAGTGTTGTGACAGATGTTTTTTATTCGAATATCTAGGTACAGAGACAGATAATTTATTTAAATATTACAGAAAGCGCATTTCCACTTGCATTCATTTCTCATTTGTAAGATGCAACTTGTGTTAAAATCGTAAAAACCCGGCCACAAATATGAAAGATAGCGTTGCACATGTGTATCCAGTTTTGACGTGCTACTTCAATTTCTGTTTATAAGAAGAATGCTATCCCCATGCTATGCCCATATTGAATTTCATGCAATTCAGTTCATAACTAACGGAGATCTAAAAGCGATCGGACATTTCTAAACAAAATTATCGTTCACGTACATGGACAGATATATGGACAGACAGACAAAGGAACAGACGGACAGACCAACAGGCGGAGGACAGACAGCAATACAAAATTATAAACAATAGGATCGTTAATAAAGGGCAAAAGTGTAGAATTATGGAATATGTAAAAAACGGTCTTTTAGTTTTTTTACAATAACTTTTTTAGCAATAAACGCAGAAAAAATTCCTTCCTTGGTGCAAGCCTCGACACCATAACCAACCAAATAGCGAAAAAGTAGAACAATGGCTCTTAAGATAAAGAACTAGTAGCGTCTCAACGAACGAGCGGACGGACGGGCAAAGTGGTCACAATAGCGCATTTTTTTTAAATTTTTGTAGAAATGCGCTAAAAATGGCACCTAGATACAGATACTTATATTTTGTATAGTGGAAAAAAAGAAGTCTAGAAGGCCCTGATGGAATTGAGTTTTAAATAAATTTACATCTAACAGTTTGAGATTGTGTAAAAAGGTGATATTAAATTCAAATTAGCGTTTAAATGTTGCAATCGTCCACCTAAATTACGTCCATAGCACTAGTTCAATTTTGAAATGCGCGTAATTGTAAATGTCAACGTGGAATTGTCTTATCATACCACTAGGGCTCAGACAGGATATTTTTTGTGGTTGTTTTTTCGTACTTACATTAATATAAGTGCCTAATTTATTATTATAATATTATTTAACTTTTTTATATTTGACAAACGATATGTAGAAAACACAAAAAAGTATCTAAGGCTGAACGGAACCGTGCCGAGCCGAGTCGAACCGAACCGGACCGCACCGGACCGAACTGAATCGAACCAAACCCACCAAAACTCACTAAACTAAAATTAAAACTAAAGGTTTTCACGTGTTCTTTTTTGTACTGTATATGCAATTGTTTTGCCTTATAAATTGAACCGTAGATTTGTTTTGTACTTGATTTAACTCCATGATTACTTAATTAACTGATTTGATTTATCGTGTTTTCCACTTACATGTATGGCGTCTCTTGTGCTTGAATTTGTTTAGCTGCTTCCATTGCCCGATTTGCAATATTTTTATGCATGTATTTCTCTTGCATTTTGTTGTCGTACTTGATATATTTCTTGTAATTGTGTGTATGCAAGGTTTTTTTAGTCCAACAAAGAAGTTTTTTTCTTGCGTAGTTTATTTTATAAGTTTTTGTCTTTTCTTACGCACAAAATATTGCATTTTATACACATGAAAGAACACCTATAATAATAGAGAACGTAGGAGCCTTATGGCTGTTTGCGCCGACAAATATTTAGGGGTCTATTCTGTATATTGTCGTTAACAAACGATATCGTAATGGTCACGATTTGATCTTGAACGGCAGATATATGCCGTATCACTGTCATATGTTATATGTTATACAGAATAGAGAAAGTCGTTGCCGAACGATATCGCTATGTAACAACATCGTTATGCGTTAGAGAATAGGCCTCTTAAGCGGGGCTTAGCTTAAAATCCATGGTAACCATGAGACCATTGTCTCAATAATCGTTGCCATGGATTTTAAGCTACGCTTAGGCTAAGCTCCGCTCCGCTTAACTTTATCGGTGCAAACGACCATTAGACTAGGAAAGAGTTGGAGCTGTTCGTAGTGTTCGTGCTTGAATCTCAGTCCTAACCGACTGCAACCGAAATTCGAAAGGGCCGAGAAACGTCCGTAGTTTCGACTTGGAAGTAGTTTTTTTCAACCAAAGTTTCTAACTGCATTTTAGAAAAATTCCCTGCATACCTATTCATAGCCTTTGTAAAGAATTTTTAATTGTTCTGAATACTCTGACCTTGTAACTTAATTCAAAGCATGCCCAACAGGCAAAGTTTTGAATTATAAAGCTCTAGAATTTACCAAAGCACTATTCCAAGATTGATGATTGCGTTCAACCGCAGATTCAAAGACTTCGTCTGCGGAATCTTCCGGATTAACCAAAGCTGATAATGATCTCTTTGTACCCATGTGCCTTTATAGTGATAATAAATCAAAGGGCCTATTATCTGCTAGGTATGGTAATTAATAAAATAAATGGTAAAATGTATTTCAGTTTTTGTATACAAAGTAAAGTAAATTAGGTGGGCCTTATTACCCAGTTAATTACCTTAACAAATTTTACAGAAGCATAGATGACAGAAGTAACCAAACCAACTTCGAAGCGAATATCTTGAAAACGAAGTGTCTGAAGAAGGTAGGTACTTACTCATAAAGGGCAAGTTGAACGTCAGGACGAGACATTGGTGATGTCGAAACTTTCACTGCAAATATTCGCAGCACGGAGTGTAGGAGAGGGAACTCGCAAAGCGCAGAAAGAACATCTACCTGCGATGTCAAAAATGAGTTGTAAAGATCTCGAAAGGCGCTATGGCATTAAGACGCAACTCGCAAGACATTAGGACGCAGAGATTAGGACGCGGACATTGGACCGCAAGACAGTAGACCGCAGACATTAGGACGCAGACATTGGCACGGGGAGAATGGGCCGCGGATATAAGGACGCAGACATAAGGACGCAAACATTGAGACGCGGACATTTGGGACGCGAGCGGCCTAGGATCTGTGTCCTAATGTTCGCGTCCCAGTGTCTCCATCAAGGTGGATTATGACTCCACCTTGGTCTCCATCTCAATGTCTGCGTTCCAATAATCATAATGGCTGCGTCCTAATGTCTACGGTCTACTTCCTTTGCGGCCAAAATCCCAATGAAGGCGTTCTAATGTCTGGCGGCCATCTCGAAAATCTTGGAAGAAGGTAATATTATATTTCATACAATTTCTCTAAGGGCTTGATTCTTTTGCATTATATAGTGTAGATATATGGCCTTTAAATGTTTATGTGTAAAGAGCTCCCTCCTCGCATTAATCATCTACGAAAAAAGAAAGCATTGATAAGTACCTATAGCAAAGAGTACTCTAGGTTACTCTTTGCCTATAGTATGCTATACCTTTATAAGTTTAGGATCTTTTGGATAAATATATTATTATTAAGTATAATGCAACCATTTACTATGACCTATTTCGGTTAAAAAAAAATGCGCTTTATCTGTACAAGAGTTGTGCACACTTTATACTTGTTTTTATTGTCATGACAACTTAGTCTCATTTCTAGTACTACTTTTATGCGTGCATTTCTTTATCCGATTTTAGAAAAATTAAAACTTGGGTCGTTAATTCAAGAAAAGAAATGCTCAAGCAAAATCTGGATAAAATCAGTATTCTTTCAAGTCAATCCAGTTGGAAGAAAAACGGGAATGAATCCTACAAACAACTAATAATATGAAACTTTAAAACCAAATGAATGTGTTGTCAGTGCCAAAGATTTCTGCTCTGCCCCTGTGCATCACAGGGAGGCATGAAATTTATTTGGTACCTATCCATAACCATAATGAAAAATATCGAGTTATAAAAATTGTTTATTGACAATGTAATAAATACATGACTGGTGGCAATTTAAAAATTGGAATCCTATACCAAACTACAACATCTTAAAAAACATACAGGTAAATGTGTAACAATACAATACTGCAGCAAAACAAGGTGTACAAAAATACAAAATTTAAGTAACAAGCATAAACTATCATTTCACAACAATCAATAACGGTACTATATTATCAATCGTTACAGAGGCTCACTAAGTACCCTTTTGTCGTCAATACACCGCGACATTTGATGTGTACCAAAAAGCGCACAACCCATTTTAATGACAATTGTGCACCGAATAAACCTTGAATGGACTGTTCTGGTAAAATATCTGAAAAAATGCTAGTGTAAGACTTCTCTTAGGAAGTTGAGTGTAGACTTACCATTAGGATCACTGTGCGTCAACAGTTGCACTTCATTATCTTTGCAAAAAGTCTGTAATGTTGGCGGAACCACGCAACATGATGCCAAATTTATTTGAATAATACTAGGTTTCACAGTAGCCCATTCGTATAGAGTTCTAAAAGCCAGCTCTTCAACGTCCGATATTCCAATTTGCAATATCTTTTTCTCTTGAACGAATTTTTCCAAAGTTTGCCAGATATTCTTTATTTTTCCAATGACATCATTTTGCCCTTCACTCTGTTTGTTATTGTAGGAGAGTATGACGTTTTGAACCGAGCTTATATTCAAGGCCTTAAAAGCTGAAAGAAAAATGTAAGTAACTTATACATTTAACAATAACATAAATCACTAGAAAAGTGAGATCGAAAAAAGCTTCAATATAATGGTGGAGGGGTTTAGAATAGAAATTTTCTACAGCTTCAGCTGAAAAAGCCTAAAGTTTGAGATTTGTCTCGGTTTTTGCGATGTGTCCTGATTTTCCTATAGTCTATCTCTAAATGAGGGTGTGAAATTGAATATCCGAGCATCTTTGAACATGGAAAAAACAAAAGCACTGACAACATTGTATGTTTAACCTCAAATAGTCAAATTAGACACTCCTGTACTTCACAGCTGATTCCGACACGGATTTTTAATTCTATTAAACATAAAAACAAAATTCCATTGCCACCTACTTGGACAATAACTAATGAACGGAGTATATGTATATTCTGCATTAGCACACACCCTCTCTCAGAACTTACAAAAATTTGAGAAAACTACTATTTATTGGTGTATTTTTTATTTACCCCAAATACCTAAACAAAACTTACTTTTTTCTATAGCTTCCACCATTTGTTGCTCTTTATCATTCTCTACAAATATCTTTAGTCCAATCTTAAGATCATTAATCTCATGCTCCGCAATTTTGCTTGCCAAATCTTCAAACGGTCTAGTTATCGTCAGGTGATGGTCCTCGATTGAATCAATTTTGTTGGTACTTTGAAAATCTTTCAGCGTGATGGTAAGCGCCTCCACCAACTGAAACACAAATTGTGATAGACAACCTGGTTACATATCTCGAAATCATGCTGTTTGATGTGCAGAAGGCCTTGACAAATACAATAAAATTACTTAATGTGAACTTTGTCCAAGTTTTTTTTTAAGTGAGCAACTACATCCTACTACAAACACTCAAAATGAACAATATTTTAAAACTACCGCACTTATAGGAAAGCATACCTCTTCCGTGGTATTTTGCCCAGGTTTCTTGGTGATATCATTCAATGATAATAAATTGCCTGTGTTAATAATCACATTGTTTAAAGGTAAACGTGATGATTGAAATTCCATCTTCAAATTCTAAGTGAAATAAAAATTCTTGCTATTAATTGCACAAATAAACGGTGTACTTACGGTACAGAAAAATTCGAGAAACTTCCACAGAAACTTACTTCTACAATTAGCAACACAGTTGTAATTTTTGTACTCTCACCTCAGCATGACAACTGACAATTGACACAACAGCACTGGAAAATTGACAGTTACAAATTTAAACGAAAGGCTGGGAGAGGGGGAAAACAACGTGCCAAAAGATTAATGAAATCGGTAAATATACAGGGTGTGCAATATTGAACTACGAAAATGCTTCTATATGAATTTATGGCATACTTACCAATCATACCAACATAAATTGGGGGGGAGGAGGGTCATTTTTTTGCCCCAATGCAATACCTCCCTCACTGACGTGCCGGTGGTAAACATGAAAATACACACTAAGTTGCGACTAGTTTAGAGAAGGAAAGTGAAGTGGCGAACATCAAGGTTGAAATAGTATAGAGGTTTTACTTGACATAAAATGATCGTAAAACTTTACTTTGTGGAATCGTTCGTTGTACACATGCGCAGTATGATTTTCCTTAATAAAGGCGCAATAATATAGAAATTTTCTGGATTTTCACCGTGCTTTTCATTTAGCGCCCAATCAGATCTTGAAAAAAAAATGGTGGTCTCACACAAAGTTTTTGCAAATATCTCAGACATGGTAATTGATTCAAATTTTGTGTGTACTCCTGGTACCTACTTGTTTGTGTTTATTTTAGTTTTACTAACCGACCAGTGGCGAGGAACTATTATGAATTTGGTCGCTCCCCATATGTAATGCCACTGGTTGGTTATCAAAACGAAGATAAGCACAAACGGTAATTAGGCACTAATAGGTGCCATCAACATTTGATTCAATTATCATTATTTGCGTTTGGGTCTGAGATATTACTAACAATTTTTCCACTCCCTTTTAAGGTTTTCGACATATTGGTATATGGACTTTTTTTCCTATTATAGGCTCTAGGACACGTCCTAGAATTTCTGCCGAACATTTATGAAATATCCTATATTTGAAAGTTTGAAAGTCTCTGTGGTTCAAATTCAAACGGAGCGCTTGCGTAGTAAAAGTCGACCATGTGGTAGTGTTTTGTTTTGTTGTTTGTTCGGTTTACGTAAATTTCATAAGTTTCAATTTCATAATCATTGTTGTCGTCTAATTTATCTTGTTTTAAAATCTCGTTACTAATTACCTTATCAGAAGAGTGTTCTTAAACTGTAAGTACATACTTCACTTTTACGTATTTTGAAACGAACGCGGAACGAGGGTTTGCGTCTGAGCTCATCAAACAAAACTGTCAAATAAGTTCAAGTCGAATAGTCGATTTAGTATTTTTGAAAAAAACAAACAATAATCGTCTTCCCTACATTATTATTCCTATTTTAATTGAGTGATTTACGTGCGTGCTCTCTCGAAAATGCCCGTCGATTTTCCAGGATTTGCTTATGCGGCCGCAGTTGCTGCTGGAGGAATTTTAGGTTATTACAAAGCAGGCAAGTGAAATGACCTATCCAATTCATTTGTTTGTGTTACTTACCTCAACATGCATCTGTTTTAGGCTCAATCCCATCACTAGGCGCGGGATTATTATTTGGAAGTGCTCTGGCATACGGTGCTTACCAAGTGTCTCAAGATCCCTCGAACTATACCGCTCAGCTTACTACCACTTCGATTTTAGCTGGCGTAATGGGCTACCGTTTTTACAATTCTGGCAAAGTCATGCCTGCCGGAGTTGTATGTGCACTGTCCGTCGCTATGATATTACGAATAGCCGTACGTGCGGCGGGATTAACTGACCGGAAGATAGTTGGATAAGTATTACAGTAAAATGTGCTAACAATAGAAATACATTACCTATCTCGACTATTCAATAACTCAACCCCTTTTGTTCCTTTTCAGTCAATTTGTTAAGATACCAAGCTCACTAGGATGCAAAAGGTAGTGGTAATCGGTTGTAGAGTAGCGGATATTTGTTAATGTTATTCCTTAATTGTTGCCAAATTGTAAAGCTGTATTTGCAAGAGTATGATATTTTTATGAAATTATAAAAATACTATAATTTTGTCAGAATTTTTATACTTATTGTTTAAATAAATAGATGTTTAGGACCATTTTTTATTTTCGTTTTATCATATCTCCGTATTATTTTCCTCACGATGACAGCACAGGTTCAAAAGTGCAAGTAGAATCTGAATTGATATTCTTCTGTAACATATTTTTGAAGTTAATTGTTTTTTTTTATTGTTAAATTAAGAAGCTGTTGTCTCATTTTTTTTGTGAGCAAAACTTGGTTGAATCTTGTTTTATTTCGAGTAGTTATTGAAAAATTGATAGAATCATTTGCTACCACTCTCACAGACGGAAATACATTATATCTGCTGTTATTAAATCACAGTCTCAAGTATACTGGCAATGTTCCTAAACATTGGGGAAACTTTTAGATTCACTTTTGTGAGGTGGTGTTCTCTTTATGCAGCTCTAAGGTGAGCTGTATCATAGTGTATCTCGAGGTGTATCTAGTCTTACACTATGGCTGTAGGGTACAATATCATTGTATATAAATGGCAATATCCAACAGAGTGGACACTTATTGTGGGTGTGTATTTAAAGCACAATTGATATATTTAAACTATATCTATATTAAGTGGCCCCCCCCCCCCGCCCAAACAACAAAAAACAAAAAAAGTAATTTGAAATCAGTTTTTAATCTTTAGGTTGAAAGTTTGGATTAATCATTATTTAAAATTCTCGATTTTTATTGCCATTAGATGTTTGATATTGGTTGAGTCGTAAAGCAAAAGTTCAGCAGTGCTCCATGTGTTAAGTTTTGCTTAGGGTGATAATTTTTTCCTTCTTATGTGTAAGTATGTGAATTTAAACTGAAATTAAAGACATTAAATATTATAGTTATAATTGTTTAATTATTAATCTGGCATGTTTATAAATTCATTTTTTGTGATCATCAGCTGAATTTTACCTAATAAATTAAGTAGAGGTATGACTTTTCATCTTAAACGTTTAATTTTAAACTTAAACAATTAAGGGTTTATCTTAATCTTAAACATTTGACCTAACTCTCAGCATTTGTAATAGCCATCTTAAACGTTTTCGTGTTACCAACATTCCAAGGTACAGCAGACGTCACATAAACATAAAATAAAACGTCAACATTATTCCTAAATGTAAGAAATTTAATCCTGTATTTATCTCTTTCCTCGCCTCTTTCCTTTATTTCAGTTTGCTCTGCGTTTTGAAATAAATGCGGACGATCCTGATTTTCGTAGGAAAACACCATTATAATCGAGATTATAATAAACGAGTGCATGTCTATCTTTGATATCTCTGAATGGTATCAATTAATAAACTGAATTCACATTGTGCTTATAGTAAAGATATTTTACACCAGGGTATAACCTTATAAATCAGACACATTTATCTGATCTGGCCATCTGTGGTCATGATTACAGAAACTAAAAGTTAAATACGAGGTTAAATATCTCAAGAAGGGAATGTCGGAAAAGGTTACTCATAAATGGAAAGTGATGGTTTTGAAGGAGAATGGAAGAATGGAACAGGATACTCACCAACAGGAAGTTGAAGGTTTGAATGAGACTGACCTGTCAGTGGAGTCAAAACTAAGTGGGAATGTTTTGTGAACGAAGTATCGAAGAGGAAAGTAGCAGGTTTGGATGGGATACATTCTTAAATGTTGACATTGGGTTCTCATAGTACAAGCAAATAGAATGTCCACATTGAATTTTGAAAAACCAACCAATATCATTCTAAGATAAACAATTTGGAACTATTTGACATTACGGTTTTCTTCTATTTTAGCCCATTAGCTGCCCAAACACTTAATATTTGTACTATTTTTGTTAATGAAACGGCAATACGCAACTATTAGTTGGAAGCAGTAGCAAAGAATAGTTACTGTTTGTCTGTTTCATGGTTTTACATGTAAGCATTTTCGATGAGTGACGGCGAAATCGTCATTTTACTATTAATTTCAGATTCAGTAGTGGTCTTCTTTACGAAAATGAATCTATTACCTAATATGGAAATGTGCTTTTTGTAAAACGGTTACTCTTTACTTATTCAAATTTGTCTGCTATTTTTAGCGCATTTTCCAACTTATGTTGTCACCTTCAGTTTCAAGCAAGGTTTCAAGAGAAACAGGTTGGATTAAGATATCAGCACTTTCTTCTTCAAACTCTTCATCCCATTCGGAAGATTCGCTGCTTTTCATAGACACTGATTCGGAGGTTGTTGATCCTTTATTTTCACCTAATTTGATTCTGTTGGCGTCTTTTATTATAATCTTTTTGTCTTCTTCATCTTATTTTCTCTTTGCCTCCAATTCGTTCCTTTTCGCTAACATTCTTGTTGTATTTTAAATCTTTCTTCTTTTCTTGCTGTTCGTTCTTCAGCTTACTTTCTTCTTTTTTTTGTAATAACTCAATGCCTGACCCGATGTTAGTACTGATGGAATTTTTTCCCCCGAGTTTCCCTGTTAATTATGTTATGAGACGCGGGTTTTTCTTCTGGCCAAAAAAGTACCCGTTTAAATGGAGATGGAATAGTGGTATCTGCAATTCCCTTATTATTTTCCTGATTTTACTTCCTTTATGGCGTCAAGCATCTCTTGTGGAGTGTATTTCAAATTTTTTTTATCTTGTCACGGCATCGAACAAAAAAGAGTTGAAAGTATAATCCAATACATGACACTCCCACCTGTTGTCATCTATTGGTTCTCACCATTTCTTAGTTATGATGATGGCAATTATGAAATGATGAAATAATTTAACAACTCACAAATAACTTAATTCAACACTTTGAACAATTAACAATGAAACAAGAAAGTTAAATGATTGCAAACACATAACGAAATGAGTAATTGTTGATATGGAATAAATGTTACTATGCATCTCGCAGTAGAATGAATTCTAACGCATGCGCGTCGGCTTATAAAGCCCTGATCTATGGAATTGCTTATGAATAAGCAACTAAACACGTGATATCCGATGAACAAATTTCCACTACACGATGCCACTAGCAAACAACTGAATGTTGTGCACCATCCATTTACATGATGAACAACGTTGCCACACTTTACTAAATATAGGCTGGCGTTTGTTCATCTTTCAGCGCTAGCGTGAGATGGGGTGCGCGAGGGAGTGCGTTTTCTGTTGAGTGTCAAAAGTGCTTTCCTTTATGGAGAGTTAGATGTTGAACTAGAATTGAGGATGTGGCTTCAAATGACAAGAAGCTAGGATCTGCTTACCAACCTCTCACTAGGCAGCGCTTCAAGAGCCTTTGTAGCATCATTGGAGTAAGTACAAAGTGCCTGTTTACGAGTGATTGGTGCTTCTGTTCTATAAAGGCTTGATTTTTAGGGGAAGTGTTATGGAAAAATGAAATAAACAGCCCTTAATGATTTCGAATGTTAATGTGTTGCTATGAGAGTGACTTGCCTTTTGCCATGCTACATTACATTTCTTTGTGTAACACCTGCAACCAAGGTAATTTTGCCATGTTACATCGAAATAAGAAAAAAACCTTCATCACATTTATTGATAGGTACCTGTTTACCAATTTTTTTTATCAAATGTACAAAGGTCTGATGATGTCTACTTATAAATAAAGGCAAAATAAAATGTAACGTGCATTTCTTCTTTTCTAAATATCAAAAGTCCAAATTTGCAAGTCCTAAACAAGACATGTCTCTTCATTTGAAATTAATGCCCAGTCAATTTGAAAAAATTTATTTTATCACAATTTTTACAACTAAATATTAGTTTATATAAAAGCTTAAATTCAAAATAACGGTACAATACATTACTAAAAAATACATAATATTCTTCCAAGTTTCAAATATAAATTTAAATTGCACATTGGTTCACTACGTATTTTAGAGTATACAAGTTAACTCTTAGACTGTAGCGGCATTCCATTAATGTATTGTAGAGTTCCACAGTCACATACCTACTCGATTAATATGAAGTCTCTTTTGTCACTGAAGAGCAGTCTGTTCAATGCTGTACCTCGCGAAAGTTTTAAATAGAAATAATTAAAATTTACTTAGAAATTCTAATTCATAAATTAACAGTTTAAAAATAGTTCACACTTGTTCACGAGGTTTTTAAAAGTTTTTGTAATTCGAATTTAGCGTCTTCTAGCTCGTCACACTGGAACAAAACAAAGTTAATTAGCATTTTGATTGGAATATTATGAAAGCCATATACGTATGAAGTCAATACTTATTGTTTTGACATTGATTTATTTTTCTAAATTAAAACGTATATGACTAAATATTGATGTTCATTTTTTTACCAAGGTATAAATCAAAGCAAGTTTGATTTGATTTACCCCTTAAGCCACCAATTGAACATCAACATTAAAATTAAAGTTGAAATATAAGAAAATCAGTGTTGAAGTAACAGTAGTGTATAATGTTGTGTAGTATAATAGCATAGAGATGTTATTTGTTAAAGTAGTGTTCATTCAAGCATTTTTTTCGGATTAAAACATCTTCATTTAATAAAAAGTCATCGAGAGGGTTGTAAAATAGATAGAAGATAGATTTGCATTCACTGAAAAAGTTTGTAAATAAGAAGAGGGTTTGTAGTTTCGTGGATACTTCTTACCCTATTTGGATTCCATTTTGGGGATTTGTTTGTGTATTTTGTACATTACTACTATCGTAATAACTGGCCACATTGTAGGACCTCTTCAGATAATTGTTATTAATGTCTTGATATCGCTTTGCGAAGTTTGCAAAGTCGTACGGATTTATTGTCGTTTGCTTTTGTAGTTCGTAAAATTTGCCTACGTACGGATTGTGGGTGGTCGAAATGCCGTTCGTTTGGTGACTGTAAGTACGAGACGTGATCGATTTAGTCGTATGGAAATATTTCGAAAAGTGCGTCTGCGGTTTGGAGGTTGAAAATGAAAAGAAGAATGGCTTTGATGTGGTATATGTTTTGGGACTTGTGACGTATGGGGTTTGTGTCGTTTCTGGACTTTCATATTGATATTGATGTGGATATGGTGGCGGTGTGGTTTGTATGTGATTGTCTGGAGGTACAGTTTCTCCAAGGTCTTCATCTTCCTCATGGAACCTGTATTAATATACATGTTATATAATTTCCATATTTCTGTAGGTGGAGAGTTCTCGTTATAAATACTTACAAAGGTCTTCCTTGTATTTGATCTCTTCGTAAGTACGACGGTGTGTTTTGGGAGTAATCCGGAATGATGTTTTCGTGTTCAACTACACATCTTCCATTTAAGCAGTACTGAAAAAGAAAAATTGTAAATGAACATGTTTTTCAGATCTTCACTATTAAAAAATGGGCTATACGAGGAGATTTTGAGACTGCCCGTTGTCAATTTTGGCTTGCGTCTTGTAGGGTATTAGAGTGTAAAAAAATACAATCTTAAAAATAATAATGCTACAAAAGACGGTCCCGTACACTACCCCTCTCTTAAAGTTGTTGTGTTTGACGATATCCTCCAGCTTTAACTTTTGACATTTAATCATCTAATTTTTCATCTCATGACTTACTGCATGTTCTCTCAGGATCTCTCATAAGGCGTTGGTGGTTGTGAGTGCTTCGTCAGATACTACCCTTTACTTACCTTCAAGTTTCAATTTTTGCCGAAACAGTACTCAGGGCAGTTTTTCCAGTGCTAAGCACAGCACCGAAGTATCCCCCCCCCCCTCTCTCTCTCCTTAAGGGTATGTCGTTCCAATGAAACGTCTTCACTATCACATTAGTGGGTATAGGATCTTCTTAAATTGTGTTCTGAGACCTACGTTTTTTTATTCGGGTATCAAAAGAATCTTCTGAAAACTGTTTGCATTCAGAGCACCCACTACATTTTTTCAGAAGTACAACCTAGATCCAAAGCGGACCTCATTGAGACTTCATCTTTGGAATTGGACTAAACTGCAACATTTCTTTTTAAGTAGTTCTCTCCTGCCAGAAACTTTTCGCTCCAATATCAAGTCTGGATTGCCTCCTTCACGTGTGCAAGTGCAGATAAGTTTTCCTTTGATGTGTTGATGTTCTTCCAACCTTATAACATTGCAAGAAACGTAATTTATCTTAATTCAATGAACGACCTTCCCTTCGATAAGTAAAATATATCAATAGGTGAAAACAATTCTCGCCCATTACCAACTATGAGTGCTTCTTAGTGCTTAGTATTCGGATGGTAATTATTGCTGTAGCCATATCGGATCAAGTAAGCGAGTAACACAGAAAAAGCATTAAATTCTGCGTCGAAGGAAGTCAATTTTTCCCATGTTCGCTAAAATGTACCATTTGACGACTTTCAGTCTTGTGTATCATCCAAAGTAATCTTATTGTGGTCTACTCTACCCCATCATTTTTTGAATCATCTTAATTCGTTGCTGAGGCCCTCGTCTTCTTCCTCCATGGATGAGGGGCTGTGAATGCTTCTTCCTCAACAGGAGCGTTGAGCATGCCTGGCCTTTACAATTTAGGCAGATTGTCGTCATTTAAGTCCTGCCTCTCTACAGATGCCCCGCCTCCTGCACCTCATCCTACAATTACAGGAGATGGAGTGAAGCACCTCGATGGGGGCAGGTTCCTTTGAGGTAGTTATTGGGACAATGCCAGCCAGAGTCGTTTTCCACCACCAATCGAAGGAGCCTTTTTCTCTTCCACACCATGCCTGGCTCCTTATTCTTGAGTCCATAGGAATTGAACTAGTGAGAGAAAAAGGGCGGATTTTCTCATAAAACAAAATACCTATTTTTCTCTTAAAACCAATCAAGAATAGGTTATTTTGTTTTATGAGAGAACTCTCACTAATTCTTTTAGTCCAGGCTATATAATATTTTTTTACAAAAAAAATTAGTTACCGGGCGAAATCGGGTTTTTCAGGCAGGTGAAATGGATAGAAATTGGGAAAAAATAATTAAAACAGCTGAATTTTTCCGCGGGTGAAATCCCGGAGGTTGAAAGAGGTGGAAAGTGGTGTTTTGCAAATTGTGGCAAAACTATTAATTTTAGACGAAAATGTGAAATATAAAAGTTATAGACATTAAAAAAATGAGCAACTTTTGTATCAGCACTATTTTCACATAACCTCCAATTTTCCTAGAAAAACCTGAAAAACTGTTTTTTTCGTTTTTTATTTTTATTTTTGCGAAAAAAATGTAAGGGTGTGAAATTTGAAGGAAACATAGCTTGTTTTATGATAAAAAAGAAGATAATTTTTTGGGCCTGTAAAGTTGAACCGTTTCCAAGATCTCACGATTTCTGAAAGAAACCACTTCTTTTTCAAGGGGATGAAAAATCTATTTTTTTTCGTACAGAGGTGCGCGGGGTTGCAAAATTTTCGTTACGACTTACATTTTAATAATCAAAAATAAAAAATATTATTCCAATAGAAACATTTTAAGAAAAGCGGCAAAAACGGGGGGAACAGTTTTAAGATATACCGTTTTGACAGCAGGTAAATTAATCCGGGAAATTGAGACTGAAAATGGACCCTTTCCTGCAAAACGAGAAGTAGTTCCAATTTCTTTTGCAGAGAAGGTGCTCATTGATCGTGGTGGAGTGTTTTAGCAGCCCTGGAGAGAACAAAGTGTTGAATGAGAGGTGCTTCCCTAGTTTCAGCAGGTTTCAGATGTTGTTGCATGAGGTGGGTGCCAGTGCAGTAAGAAAGATGAGCAGTGATTGGTCTTTAACATGGGTATTGACCAGACTTTATTCTTCTAGTTATTCAGGAACCTTTCTTCCGGAATTGTATAAATGTATGCATCATGGTTTCCGTGAATAGGACAGCGGGCGAAGAAAGTTTCTGTTGTCGACGAAGGCGCTCTGCTCACTTGGTACATTTGGCTTCAACCCCCTTTAGGGTACCCATAAAAAAATCCCGATGTTCTTTGAGGGTTGTAGTGATCGTTCATGTATGTCACGTATTTGTTAAGGATGGTTGAGAACTTTTCCTTTAACTGGAATGGTAGCTTGTAATATGAAGCCGCCGTCAATCACAAAGGCACCCTGGGTACAGGGCCAACAGCTTCAGTCACGAGAGAAAATGAGTCATAGAAGGCTGCCTTCTGAGGACGGCCGTGCACGAGCTGCATTTTGCAAGCGTGTTGACTGCATCTACGTATGGTACAGTATTTCATATGAGCGACGGCAACTTTCTGGTCGGTCCGACAGCAAAATGCGAGTCGTGTACAGGTGCCCTCAGTTTTCCGCATTCCTGTATCGTCGAAAATGGAAACGGGGTACGGCGCCAAGCGCCAACTTATATTGAAAATATATTTGAGCTGTCTATTCGACTGTTTGAGGATGTGATTCTTCGAAAGATGGTGTTCAAGTTGACAGGGATATGGACGTAACCTTGGATTTGAGGGTTTCGTGAGGAATTACTCGGCCTTTCTGTGGAATTTGACATCACTAAAATGTTACCCAATAATTCTCTGTATGCTGTCATTTCCTTTCTGAAGTGCTTGGTGGAAAGCAGTGGTTTCATCACCGGTTACCCGCTGATGCTCATGACAAAATCTCCAATGGGGAAGGGGTCATGTGCCTTAAACCCTCGCCAACCTTGCATCGACGTGCTGTTCGGATGATGCATAAGTGAAGCCACACAAATCACACAGAAGTTTCCATGATGACATAGATGCAATCCATTTCAGGATGGTACTATCACTAATGCTTGTCCATGAGTCAGGCCTACACTTCTCATTGTTCTCATTACCACCTGCTCTATTGTCATATCAGTCCTTAATACCGAATGTGTGGCTCAGTGGTAGAGCGTTGGCCTACATAGCCTGGAGGTCGGGGGTTCGAACCTGAGCTGAGGTAAGAATTTTTCATCTGTAGCAGAGATAGGTATGTCCTTAGCTCATGTTTCGAGCATTCTGCCGGTTCCAGGTTTTCCTAATTCGTAAGGTAAGGTAACCACAGGAGTAGTATAGAACCATTAAGACCTTCTGCAGGGGCCCCTCTAAAAAGCATTATGCGGATCACAATGGGCGAGAGCCTGTTGAGGGCTCAGAACAAGAGAGGAGATCAACACTTTTCCGTTCTCCGGACTGTAAAAATCCCTTGTTTCACGAAACAGGCAAATTCAGCACCTGACACCAATGATTTCAAGTTCATCATGTCCTGTAGATAGACAGATAGATGGGTGTTACATTTCGTGGATATTTGACAAGCGCACAAGTCGACACTTCGAACTGAAAACTTCAACTGAGAAGGGCAGAGCTCTCGAACTCGAGGTATAGGAGGGAAGAAGCGCCCGATTCCTTAGTTTTTGTGTTAAATTATAACACGTTCTTTAGCCGTCGATCACTACCTTACAAATGGGGGGGTCGATTTTTGAAACCAGTCGCATCTATTCGTATACGCTTAGATGCGAAGACTTAAAAACGTATACGTTTTCCAAATGCAATTTTTGACTACTGTTCGTAACTGCCTGGAACCGAAACGTACAGTGCATATGACAATGTCGCCTTTATTGATTGATTAGAACTAAAACGGACTATTTGACGTTCATTGACGTTTGGGTTTGAGCTTAGGCGGTGAGGTGAAGATATTGCTCAGTCATTTCAAATTAAAGAATAATAATATTTTAGGCACTGATTAGCATGAATACTGAAAACACGATGGACACGCCAAAGCGAGGGTGCAATACCACGCAAAACCAAAAAGGGTGGCTAGTAGAGTTTGCTAAAAACCACCCCGATATAATAGCAGGGAAACAAACGACGATTTTGACGTGCAAGAAAATGCAAGACTCATGGAAAGAAGTAGCTGATACATTTTGATAAATTGTGCTTCATTTAACACTTCTATGGGGTTGCAAGGATTACGGTTCCTATTCGGGCGATAATTGCGTTCGGAATTCTCTAAATTGTCTATTACAAACACATTCACAGCTTCATTCATTGTTGTTAGTAGATACCTTTCAAGTCTCAAGAGTCAAAACTTCAACACTAACCAATACATAACCCACAAAACGTCAGTTGCGAGCGTTTGCGAACGCCATTTACCCGCTCGCAGAAAAACGAACAGACTTGAACGTATACGCAATATAAACGTATGGTCAAAAATTGCAAATATACGTTTCTTTACGAATACGTATACGTTTTAAGGAAACGTACGGCCAAAAATCGACCCCCAGTTTTAAAGTTGAAGGGAGGGGATCAATTGATGCAGAATTTAATGCTCTTTAATTTGCCTCTGGGTAAAGATTTCGCGAGATTGCGTTATTTAGGAGTTACTGAGATTACTCGTTTTCGAGACTAGCTTAAGGTTTTTGAACGATTTCCAGAGTTTCTCAGGTCACTTTGAGGTTTACTGGGCTATATATGTTTTGGTATTTTCCGTAGATATTTCTCGATTCATATGTGTTGATTAGTCTATAGGCAACAGCAGTGTCGCAATTCTTCATAATTTTGTTAAATGTTGTCCACTCCTACCAAAGCTCAGAAGGACCACAAACAGATTTTTCTGATTATTGGAACTTTTATTTGGCGCCTAGAAAATTGCCATTTCTGTCAATTGTCAAATTGTCTTTCAATTAGCGAATTTTTCTGAAATCCATACATGCATGGAATAGATGGCAATAGGCAACCAACTCTACACGTAATAAAATTTCTCCTATAGGTCACGTGAGCGATTCGAAATGTGGTTTGTAATGAGTAATGACGATTTATCGCATACAGGGTGCCCAAAATTTAATGACCAATTACATCATTTTCAAGGTCGAAAAAGTTCGTTTTTTCAAATATTTTGTTAATAATTTTGTCGTCCTTGAAAATAAAATTGTTTAAATTAAATTTTGGACACCTTGAATGCGACAAATTAATTCTAAATGTGAATTCCGAGAGTAGTCTTCTTACGCGTTCGTCCGCATTAGAAACCTTCAAAATTTGAAAAAAAATCAAGATATATAGTAGATAAGTAGAAAACCTCATGAGAGATGAAATTTTCCCAAAAATCTAATCTAAAAGTAGGAAGTAAATGATAGTTCCGGTGTAAGAATGACCTTATCAATATTTTACATTGAAAGAGAATCTTGAGTGTAATTCAGATCTCCAAAAATTCAGAATTTTGAAGGTCGATGTCGCCTTCTAGGATAACCATAAGTGCCATTATATTGAAGTTCAACTGAGAATTTGGCGACGAAAAAATAACTGCCCCAATCGTCATTGGAAAAGTTAAAGTTGGTACCGCCAACTAATAGTTTTTGGAATTCACCCTAAATGCAGCAACAAATACGCGCAATTTTCATCAAAATGGCGAGTTATTGTGGTCATACTTTTTATCTTTTATGATAAAATTACCTGTCCATCTCCACAAGGCGATCCTTCTGCTGCCGGTCGATAAGCTACGCAGTATCCACTGCCGGAATCAAAACAGAAAAGCTGAGCGCATACCCGATCATCTTTCTGCAACAAAATAACGTTATCGAGTTGTCACCACCTGCGAAAAGGCAATACTTACAAAGCAAGCGCTCGTTCCACGGTCTCTTCGGCATTGCGCATCTAGGCTCAACAGCTTCCCAGGTAAAACTCTTGGCAAACCGTCATCCTCATGCGGCGCGTTGAACAAACACGTTGCCGTGTCACCGCTAAAATCAAAAAGCATGTAGACTTGTGGCGATTATTCATAGAGAGTACTTTAAAAAGTGATGGAAGCTCGAAATACTGCACGATGACCATCGAAAACCTCGATCGGTGTGTCGAAGATCTGACATGATGTATCCGTCTGTCCATTGGCATTTTTCCGCTCCTGGTCCTCCCAAGTAAGAAGGGGGTGGACTTCCGTCGTGTACTGCACCTAATCTAAAATATCAGTAATAACGATGGGGATAGTACAAGCAGGTGGTGTACTTACAAATGACCAACTTCATGTGCAGCTACAATAATTCCACTGAATCCACCTGTATCTTCGATGATGGCAACCGAGTTCACCTTCTCCAGCCGCTTGTTGACGACGCAAGCGCCTCCCACATAGGCGAATCCTATAATAGCAATTCCAATGTATTTTAAGTACCCAGTTTGTAGGATAATGTTAATTGATCTTCAATGGAATTAGAAGTTGCGACTTAGTGTTAGTCAAGGTGTTAATTTATGAAGCGAAGTGATACAGGTAGGTGGTAGTACATGGTAGCCTTATGCGAGTCATGTCAACACAGGTTTGCATTCCTGCGTCATGCAAGTGTGAGATAGATAAATGACGGAATTATTACTTACAAGATTTCTAAACAATTTAACTCGTGCAATATCGTGCAGAAGTTTCTTATAGCGGATAACTATTCGTGCTTAAAGTCGAAAGGGTTTAAAAGACAAATATGGTATTAGGGAAATAGAAAATAATTGTAGGTACGTGCAGAAGTATTTTATCTCAAAAAAGTTACAAAGTCAAATTATGAGGAAGGTGCAGTTATCAACTTTTTCCGTACCTGCCGTGCCACGATTGCACACATCTCCAGTATATTGTCTTCTGCACATGTCTAGTCTGGAAAAACAAACATTTTGTCACATTAGGTTAGGGTCGAAACTAGACCGCGTTTCTCTTTATATGGTCCTGCCGCTGGGAATTTGTTTTCGTCTGCACTATCGGTCAAATACGTCAACTTCATGTGTGGTGGTATTAGCGAAAAATTAGTAAAGTATCCCTCTGACACAAGTTATGATTTTGGTTTTGTTAGTGTAGCACATATGTACACGCTATAAAATAAAAATAGGTATATAACGCTGCATTACCAGCAGTTCCTTTGGTGCAACGACCACCCTTTCTGCGACGACACATGTCATACCTAAACAGAACTAATGTAAACATATGATTGTGATTATTAGAAATATAGTACAGTGTTATATATTAATATCTGTAATATCAAGAAGAATCTTTATTAATATATTGTAGGATCGCTCAAAAGTCTGGTGTAGAATATTAAAGGGAGGGATTTTTACGCATGCGCACAATTACTTGTTTTTTGCTTTTACTTTGAGAGCCAAACTCAATATTTTAGGCTAATTGCTTAAAAAATACGTAGATTGATTCTACTTCTGGGTGCATTCAACTTTTGTTACATGTTTTTATAATGAAGAATTTGGTGTCAAAATTTCAGCAAAATGACTCTGATTGACTGTCTGTATATATTCAAATTTTCCAAAGGAGGAAAATTTCCCTAACTCAATTCACATTGACGTACCTCGAAAAACGAAACCATAATCGTGGGAGAATTGACAACATGCACATCCGATTTTTGAGCTATCCTGTACATTGGCGTGATATGATCTGAACAGAATAGAACTGGTACTTCTAGTTTTTATTGATCAGTGCAACGTTTATATTCAATAAAAATGGTTCCACGTCATCTCATTTGGTGCAAAAATTGCGACCATCACATATTCACTTACAAATCGCCCAGTTATAGCCTTTTTTATGTGAGTGGTTCATTTTCTTGAAGTAAAAAATGCGCTAAATCTAAAGAGTTACAACACTATTGGCAATTAGTGACATGTTCAAATGTACCTTGAATACAGTGTGTAACATATAAGCCAATTTAAGAAAAATCTGCTTACTTGGTTATCGCCACAGACTATATCATAGACGGGCTAGTCTTGGCGTGATATGATCTGAACAGAATAGAACTGGTACTTCTAGTTTTTATTGATCAGTGCAACGTTTATATTCAATAAAAATGGTTCCACGTCATCTCATTTGGTGCAAAAATTGCGACCATCACATATTCACTTACAAATCGCCCAGTTATAGCCTTTTTTATGTGAGTGGTTCATTTTCTTGAAGTAAAAAATGCGCTAAATCTAAAGAGTTACAACACTATTGGCAATTAGTGACATGTTCAAATGTACCTTGAATACAGTGTGTAACATATAAGCCAATTTAAGAAAAATCTGCTTACTTGGTTATCGCCACAGCTATATCATAGACGGGCAGTCTTCGTTCTCGGAAAAGATACTTCCCCATATCCGTTAAAGCAGCAGCGGAATCAATTGCGTCTCGCCCAACCCTGTTTCTTTCCAAGTATGGCGTCGCATCTCTTCCCTATTAACATAATATATTAGCTCACTAACAATTGCATTTAATTTCAGATGAATTATTAATCGACGATGGCGACGAACGCAATTTATAACTTTCTCAAAGACCAAAACAGGCCATTTTCGGCTAACGATGTACTCGAAAATGTCGGAAAGGAATACGGAAAAGCTGCCGTTCAAAAAACACTCGACGGTTTGGTAGAAAAAGGCAAAATTTTCGAAAAGCTCTACGGCAAGCAGAGAATTTATTGCGTTACTCAAGAGGAAAATCAAGTGGGAGAGGGAGTTCGTCAGTTTGATCAGAAAATACACGGCTTGACTGAAAATTTAAAGCGCGTCGCGAACGAGCTTCAAACAAAAATGACCGACTTACAAGCGCTACAAGGGAAAATCACAACCGCCGAAGCTAAACGGCAAAGGGACGAAAAACGAGACGAGATTCTTCATATTCAAAATAAACTGAAGGCCTTACAAGACGAACCTAACCCCATCACTGCGGAACAAAAAATAAAAATTGAAAGTGAACACGAAAAGCATTTAAAGGAATTTCGCAAAAGAAAGCGCATGTGTATGGATATCTTGAATTCAATTTTGGAAAATTATCCCAAAACGAAGAAGCATCTATTTGAAGAAGTCGGCGTGGAGACGGACGAAGATGTTGGATTTAAAGTGGAATCGTTCTAACTTTGTATATTTCAGTTTAATAAATTATGATACTTACTCGGCTAATAATTATTCCGGCGATGGATATACGAACTCTGGGACCTTTCAGTAACTTATATCTTAAATCTACCCCATTCCAAAATGATATAAAATATCGTTTAATTTGAACGTTATCTCCACCGTGCAGTCTATATCCATCATAATCGACAATTACTAAAATTTCTGGATAAATGATGTATGGAGCTTCACGTTTGCTCCTATTCGATGTGGTATTCTGTGCGTTTCTCCTATATCGTTTTGCTAGGTGATCAGGTTCCATAAAAGCTAAAAAGGTATAATTATAGACGCCGACAGGCACTTAATGTTATTGTTGTGCATATTTTACAATAATGTGTGTACATACCGTAGTCACTTAATGTCTCTTCTGCTGGCCCCTTCCTTCTGTAAACAATGTGTTGGTGGCCTTGCGATTGTTTGTTCTGTATGTTTCGTCTAATTGGCAGTCCGGTGTCAATGGCAACTTCAGAACTAAGCTCTCCATCTTCATCTAAGAACATTTCGTCGTCATCGTCTCTTTCGGATTGAGGTAAAATAGTTGTTGTGGCCTTCTCGGTTGTGTGATTTAATTCCTCGTCTGTGTCTACATTATTTGGGTTTGTCAACGGATGAAGTCGGATGGGCATTGGTCTAATTATTAGATCTGAACCTATGCTTCCTTCCTACAAAATTTTCAAAATTAAAATCACTTTTGGTTTTGACATAGTTTTTACTTGTGGCTTTCTATGCAGATATTCTAATTTAAAGTTTTTGAGTTGTAGGTATAGTTACATGTAGATGTTAGCAGCAAAGCCTGTTACATCGCTAAACTTAGCTTTGCAAGGTGTCCCAAATGAAACTAAGACATTTTAACGGTAAATAAAATAAAAAATTGCGGTTTCAACTACTTATGGCCGTTTGCATATACAAATTTAAGCGGAGCTTAGCTTAAGCGTAGCTTAAAATCCATGGCAACGATTATTGAGACAATGGTTGCCATGGATTTTAAGCTCAACTTAAGCTAAGCTCCGCTTAAATTTTTTGGTGCAAACGGGCATTAGTGAGCTCCAAATTTCAAAAAAAAAATTCCAAAATATACAGAGTGTTCTATTTAAATAAGTGAAGTAATATTTAGTTGAAGGCAATTTCGTCCTTCGGGAAAATTTGTTATTGCGAAAAAACTTTTGAAATAATTAAAACGACTTTGTATAATTTCGTATATTTCAGGATATCTCCGAAAGTAGTCGGAATTTTTTCAGTTTCAAAACGGCATTTTGTTAAGCAATTTAAACTACCTACATATCTCTTACAGTTTCCGAGATCCCCTCGAATTTGAATCAGCCTGTACATAGCCTATATAAGTATACATTTACGAAAAATTCCCTGTATATGATGTACGTTGGAGAACGGGGCTGAAGGGGGATACTTACAAAGTGAAGGTAAAACTTCTTTGCCAAATGCATCTTTCGAACGGATGAAATGTTATCATCTAGCATGTTTAGGTACAGAAAACAACGGAAAAAATTCGCCAATATCTTAGACGTGTGTAAGTGAAGGTGAATGATAAGAAAATAAATACAAGTGATATGCACGGAAATAACAACAGTACAGTAGACTAGATATACTAATTAAACGTTATTTTCAATATTAACATTAGTTCAGGGTGCTAACGAAACAACTTATTTTGGGTACTACCTCGTCAAATTCCATATATGGGACGAACTGATTCCTCAATTTATCGGAAACCTTGCACGTTAATTGCGATGCGTGTTTAGGCTGTTTACTTTATTCGTATAGGTAAGTACCCAAGTTACAAAATCTTAACAAAGTGAATCCACTGTGTCCCAATTGAAATGGAAATAGTACGAGTATAAATTGGGACAAATGCAGCATTATGCGGGTCACTCTGTAACTGGGCGTGTAAGCCTGTCGAGGGCCTAGAACAAGAGGGACAATAAATAAATTTAAAAAAATGCATGTAGAGTGTGTAGATTCCACTACTGATCAAATTTCTAAATTTTCTCGTTTAAAGGTAAAGGGATTTCGCCTCTTTTGCAAAAACTGTATTCACGGAATTGATAAATTTGCGGAAATCTTTCACTTGACGATCCCTTTATTGTTTTGTTTTAATGTACAGCTGGAGCTGGTTATGCCTTTATATTATTTTATTAAGTATTTATTTATGTATTCATGGTTCGACTAGGTGTGGAGAAATCATCTAAGATAGTTCGGAATCCGCATCTGTTGCTTTCTGATTTAGTGCGGGCTGCAGATTTTGTGCCTTAAGCAAACTGAGAGGGGACTATTTAACTTTTCTTCTGTTTAACATGTGTTTGTATGTATAATAATCAACTTTAACTTGAATACCTTCTTGCTTGCATTCCCACGTGAATTTTGTCCATGCTAAATTAATGGTACTCAATGGTGGGGCAGATGTCCCTTTGATGTTCTTTAGGTACATGCGATTTATCACTTTAGGAGTTGTTTTATCTAAATTCAACAGTAGATGTTTTTAATGTGTTGCTGTAGTACTATATTGATCGATGTTGCTTTTCATTTTGTATTTATTATGTCAGTTGTAAGTATCTCAGGTAAGTAAAATATTGTTTTCATCACACACCGTTGCAGTTGTTGTTGTTGTCCGGATTGTTAAGCACGACAAATTGCGTACATTTTTGCAGGCGTATTACTTGCCGCTTTAGGCGGTAGGCCGTATTCTTCTGCATATGCACAGACTGAAATTTTAACAGTAGTATCCTTTACTAAATGCAAATCGATCCATTAAATTAAACATGTAAACAGATCGCTTTTGTAAATTAATCAATTTCGATCAGGTGTTAGAAGTAAGACACATCTGGTCGTCGCTGTAAGGAGTCTTATCAGGTATAATTTAATTAACGCACATGTTTTATCGCTGTTAAGAGATAAGGTGTTTCGAAGAATTTCGCGTTTCAAATGAGAGAAGTGGGGACGTTTGTGATTGGCGATCTATTTGAAAAGTAAAAAAGGAGACTATCTGATGGTGGAAGAGGTGCTTCCTTAAATACTGGAGACAACGGGGCTGCTGCTGGTGTCAGGACGATTAAGAGCGTGTACATTTATTTACGCGATTTTTTTACGGGCAGTCAGCCTATGCATGTGAAAACGTATTTCGTTAGTAGTGTAATAAAGTGTGCAGAAGAAGTTAAACAATCTTATTAAAAGATTTAAGTTATTACATCCACAAGTGAAGTAGTAAAATTCGAGAGAAGTATTAAAGCGCTTTGTCTGATTACAGAAAAAGTTTGGTCGAGTTGAAAATGAAGCAGTTTAGTAGAGTGAAGCCTCTTGTTAAGGTTCTGTTCTTATTAAAAGCTAAGATTCTATCATTCGAATAGCTACCGAAAATTTGGCATCTTATTCGTCAAGCCAGTTTTGTTTGTGATCAAGTTCAGTGTTAACAAGAACAAGTGAAGTTTCAAGAAACTGTCAGCGTTTGTGTGTAAGTTAAGTGCGCCCGAATATCACAAACCTTGTACTACCAGATTATTTAATATTTATATTATTTAAAAAAACTGTAAGTAATTAAGATTTATTGTTTTATTTGTCGACCGCCTGCGTGCGGGATAATATGCCCGAATACGCTTTCTCTCAGCAATTTTGTTTTAATTTTTTGTCATTGCCAATCAATTAATTGTGTATTATTCGAATCCATTGTACAGGGTGGCCAACTAAGAATGCGAGGTACTGTATTTGAGAATCTATCCATCGTAGAGGCTTGCGGTAAAAAAATTTATTACTAAAACGGCCACGAGCAAAACCTGGAAAATATTTTAAAGTTTCTGAAATGACCGCTAGGGGGCGTAACTGCAATCTGGAATATAAAAAAGTTATGTTTCTGTGAATTCCGCTATATTAACCTAACAAAAAAGTGTCCGGTCTTTGAAGTTGACGGTAATCTGAACAATTTTTGTTTGACAAATTTTCCTGTATCTCTAAAAATGAAGTGGCGGGGGGTATTCAACGGTTTCCATAAAGAACAGTCTGTATCTTCGAAACGGCTGAGCCGATTTAAACAAACTCGATTAGTTCAAAAGAGCTATTCTTCAGCTACAAATATTATACTATTTGAAGTTTTGTTAGTTTCACATATCACCGCATGAGGGCTTTTTTCGACATTCCGACAGAAATGGTTAATTTTCTCAAAAAAATTAAATGCATTGGTTCGATTTTTTTTCATGAAAAAGTAGCTACATGATGCCTAAACAAAATCACTTTTTTAGATTCCAGATTACAGTTACGCCTCCTAGCGGCCATTTCAGAAACTTAAAAATATTTTCCAGGTTTTTCTCGTGGCCGTTATAGTAATAAATTTTTTACCGCAATCTTCTACGATGGACAGGTTCCCAGATACAATACCTCGCATTCTTATTTGGCCTCCCTGTACAACCCGAATAGAGTTTTCATGTCAAATTTTTCTTTTCGTGCCCAAGTATTATCTCAGCTGTTAATGAAAATTTGTGTAGTTAATTAGGTTTGGAATTTTGGAATGTTGATCGAGGCTACTGAGTGACCGCATGCCATTGCACACAGCAATATATACTTACAGTCGACCTTTCCCCTCCCTTTTCTGAAGCCCATTTGTGTTTCCTCCAACATTCTCTACCATTTCGCTTTCTAATCTTTCGTTCAGTACCATTGTTTAGATTGTATACGCCGCGCCGTCGTAATTATCGTGATTCCCCTAATTTTCCACGCACAATGTTCGTCACTTCTTTTGCAAATCGGCACTATTACCCCCTCCTACCATTCTTCAGGTAATCCCCCTCCTTTCCATATCTTGTTTGTTAGATTCCCCATGCTTTCATTGGCCGTATCTGTGGCGAAAATCCAAGTCTCATTTCCTGGTTCGTCTCTCCTTGCCGCTTTTCCTCTCTTCAGTCTTTAATTGCGGTTTGATTTCTCCTCTTGTTATTCCACCTCCTTCAATCTCATCTCGGAGGCCTCCGCCTTTCACTGCTTTCCTTGAGTACCTTGGTGTTGAATTCCATTCCTCTACTTAGTTGTATTTTCTTTTTTCCTCTGTTTCTCGCTTTCCAAAAATCCTCTGTTTTTATTTCTCTGATTTCCTGTTCGTATAATCATGTTTTTGCTACGTAAACGTGGTGTATAAGATTGTTTAATTGCATACAAACTATTTTTATCTTATAGCCATCAAATAGTGTTTCTTGGGGATTTTAGAGGACCTTTCTGATTAAAATGATGTAACTACCACTATAGTTTTCTGTTTTTCAGCGAAATTCTTCTTCAATTTTCAAGAGAGTATCTTGGAAACAAAAGACTACTGCTGTCAAATGTCGATTTTTTACTAGGCTATTTGATTAAAAAAATGTTTCAAAACCCACTCTTGTTGCCGCGTAACACAAATTATCGGCTTTGTAGCTCAGTGGTAGAGCGTTGGGCTACAAACCCGGGTGTTCGGGCCTGGGCTAAGGTAGGAATTTTTCATCTGTAGCAGAGATGGGAATTTCCTTAGATCAGTTTGGAGCATTCTGCCGGCTACTCCGAATTAGGTTTTCCTGCAGTTTTCCTAATTCGAAAAGGTAAATACTGGAGTAGTATAAAACAACTTAAGACCTTCAGCATGGGCACGAGATCTCGATGGAACAGACAGACAGACGACGGAAAATCGAGTATAGGTATA